GCAATAAGTGACCTAATGCATCTTTACATGTCTGTGTTTACAGATGACTTGTTTAAGACCCCTATCAAACCAAGAATTGCATTATTTTAATGTCAACCCATAGCAGAAATAAATAAGTTTCACACCAAATGCCAACAATAAATGTTTGCACAATGACTCAAACTGGTCACAGCTTGAGAGATTGTGTAATCATTATTTTGCCACTTACATGGGTATCACATTGTTGGATCAGTACATTGATTTAAATTCACATTCTTCAGAAAGCTCGATTATACAACAGGCAAAAGCTATATAGGCAAAAAAAAAAAAAGTATTTTTCTGCAAGCAAGTCATTTTTGAAACCCATGCCCTGCAAACCTTAAAGTCATGCATATTCTCACTTCATTGGTTTGTCAATGGTGTTGCTTCAGTTTACTCTGCAAGTTTCTTACCGATTTGAATATTTTAATTGTAAAGACAATATGTGATATTACGTAACCAGCCACCAATACTTCTTATAATACAATATGCTCATTTTTAAGTGGAGGAAAAGCCTCCCGTAACAGCCACTTTCATAACATCGTGGGTTAAGAGGCAGAAGATTAGGAAGTGCTGTTTATGATGATTACAAAGACATTGTTTCTGGGGATAATCAGCCCAGATTTAAGACTCTTTGGGTCTCCGTATCACTTCATTTCTTAATTTCTCTTCTGCTTGCACACATACAAACCCACATGTTGTCTTGGTGGCTTCTCTCTCCCTCCACCCGCCTTTCCTACTGTCCTCTTTCCCCTCCCAGTTACTTGCCTCCTGTCTCAGTCGCTCTGACCTCTCAATATCACACAAGCTGTCAGTGCCAAACTATCGATGTCCCCTGACACTTAAACGACTCAGACACCCCACAGCATTGCCATTTGCACAGAGATAATTTTAATCTTTTATAGTGGGGCCGAGTGGAAGCAGTGGAGCTGTGTGCAGTCTGACCAGGCCAAAGCTGAAGACACTGGAGCCCTAAACAGAGATACGTTTGCTGATATATGTCACTGTTAGTCTTTTTGCGTTTACATGGGTAGTTTATTTAACAAAGGAGGCAATGTGAAGACCACTCCTACAACTCGCTGGTAGATAGAAAGTTGGCTGATTAAAAAGTCCCACACAATCACTGACTTGCAAAGGTTTTAACGTTTGCACAAATATTTAGGTTGTTATGGTGAGAAGAATTTTAGGAGTTATTTGTTCTTTGGGAGTAAATGAAGGTTAGTTCACATGACCTGGCAAGTTACTGATGGATAATTATTTGTTGTTATGCCTGTCTGTGCCCAAAAATCAAGTGATTCTTTCAAAATGTTCTCAGATATTGTGCCCCATATTTTCAGTTGTGTTCTTATCAGTAAATCTATACTATATGTCATTCTTACATAAATACATTATTTCACATTTCTCTCCCTGGTTTTTCTTTTATCACTGAATTAACTGAATGAGTAATAACATTATCCTTAACCTCATAGTGCTACCGTGCATTTTTTGCCTCTGCTTTTGCAGCTTTCAGCTCTTTCGGTTTTTGTGTATGTAGGTGTTGGTTTGCCCTTCCATGAGTGTGTGTGCACACACTCCCGTTGGATAGCCTGAAGGGAGCTCGCAGGCAGTGAGTTTGGGGACTAAATGGCTGAGTGCATACATTCAGTCCAGGAAAATGAAGCTTCAGAAAGAAGAATTGTTCCATTTGTCCGGAAAGAAAATTTCAAGATAAAACTTGGATTTATGGTATTGCTCGTATCTTTTTTTGGCTCCCTGTTTTTCTTGTGCAGGAATTTGTGGCATTTGTTGCTAGTGCTTTGATGAGGATGTCCTTTACAATAGGACTGCGTTTGAAAGAGAAATGCTCCGGGAGCAGAAAATGAAGCTTTCGATATAAATACTTATGTAGTATTATGTATTTTCCAGCCAGTGACACTTAGCACAATAGAGTTACTATGTTACCTTCAGTAGTTATAGAAACTACTGAAGGTAGTTATAAAAACACTGTATTCATCAAACATCCCTTAATTCTCCTGCCATCCTAAAAGGGTTTGAGTGGACCCTGTGTGAGTTTTGCAAGTTTTGTTGTTTTGGAGACTAACAGCTGATAGGACACCTCCATTACTTCCCCGTTGTCTGACCGTGACATCTACCTCCATCATCCGGAGTCAAGGTAGGACGCTGTGAATGGCTGCTACTTTCAAGGATTTCTCAAACATACATGAAATAAAAATCAAGGTAATACTCCTGTTATTATCAATGAGGAAATTACATTATAAAGTGATGTAAGTCAATTTTACCCCTCTTTTAATAAGTCCATTGGCTGTAATCCGAGTAAGGAGCTTTTCATGCTGCCATGATAACTGGATAGTTGTTTCCATTGGTAAATAATGCAGCTACTTTATGGTAAAACTGGATTTTTATTTATCCCTGATAATGCCAACTTAAGTTCGTATTCACATTCTAATGAACAAAAGACTTAAATTTGCAGAAGCTATGAAAACTATTTCAAAAACAACAATACTGCTAATCTGTATAAGAAAGACAAGACAAAATGAAAGAAACTAAGACAAATTAAACAATTCTGGATAAACTAAGTTGTCTGCATTTATTTTCATAGGGAGAACGTTTTACATTGACTTCTACTTTTAAAATTGAGTTACAAAGGATACTGACATTTTCCTGTCCTGTCGTATACGTAGATTTATTGTAGATGATTTGTACAAAGCATGCTTGAGCTAGTGTCTATCCAGTGCTGTTACCATCTTTCAACTACAGTTTTGTGTGGGTGTTTGTCTTCTCTGTCAACGTTTCTGGTCAATGTGATGATTTTGAAATGTGCTTACTGCTCTGCAGTGCCTTTGCCTTTAGGGGAACTGGTTGGGCATTCATCTGACGAAAACTATAATATTCTGTCTATTTCAACCATTACTTGTTTGGTTTGGTGCAAGATGAACAAACCATGCAAACTTACAAAGTAATTTACAGTTTCTTTAGAGGACTTCTTCATGCCTGTCAAGTTTTGGAATTGAAAATACGGGAAGTATTTATCTGTCCCAACAGGACAGAGGGACTTGACAGGTATGGGTATTTTTACATCATTGTCCAATATTTAGCTCCATCCAGTTCCTCAACTATTTTGTTCCTCTCTGACCAGAACACACTGTCCCTTATTACCACTTTGTTGTGTCAACTACGTAGCTTGTGTCAAACTCCATGCAACATATGGCTTTCGTGTTTCACTTGAGAAACTTTTTTTTTCATGATGTACATTTAATCTCTGCCTAGAAACTCATTTACTATGTATGCTTTTGACTTCCAGCAACTGAAAAGTATTTTTTTTTTCTATTGAATTGTTGTAAATGTTAAATTGAATATGCATTGAGATGAAGATTTTCTTTCTCTCATCTCAGAAAGAGATTTTAAAGAGAAAAACAAATGGAATAAAGTTTATTGTTTGCATTTAGCTGTTTATGTAAACATTATTAGCCTTGGCACATAGACTGCAGCTATTTGAAAAGCAATAACATGAATATTAATACACATATCAGTTGCTTGTTAGGAAACTAAATTAGACGAGTGGTAGAAGTTATTAACACATTCTTCCCCCTTGCGTGTTTGTTTCTCCACTCTACTTATTAGTTGATAAAGCTTTGCTTGCAGGTATATATACATTCAAACGTACATTATCAGTCAAGATTCAAAATACAGCACACATTATGCATAAAAATCTGGTTACTTATGGGAATTTGATTTTTCTTTTTAAAAAAAGGATTAGATATGCATTTGCTTCTCTGTGGAGTGTTAATCTCTGCCTAGAAACTCATTTACTATGTATCTTAAGAAATAAAGGTGAGGCAGACAGTTAGGGGTTGTAGAATGGGTTCGAGTGTGTCATTAGTCAGGCAGCTTTTTGCAATAAAGCATTTTCTTTCCACCCTGAATGAGTGATGACAAGCAGAGGTAAATGATTTAACCTGGTCTGGCCTAAGATCTGAACTTGTATGTTTTTTGTTTTTTTTTATGTTTATGTGACAAAAAAAAAAAAAAACACACAAAGGAAATAGTAAAGCAAATATGCAACCTATATACAATAAACAAGACACATTGCTTTTTTGGACAAAAGTAGACACTACTCCTGCTGCTGGAAACAGAAACGATACTCTCAACAAGCCTATACCCTATGGTCTTGAATAATACATGGGAATTGAAGCACATTAATTCAATGAAGATGCAGTTTAAACCTCCAAATGCTTGTAAGCGAGGCTGTTTGTTAAGATTCTCGCTGTTCCCAATGGACAGGAAGGAGCGTTCATTACAAATTATTCATGTTTTATTTGGAACAGCTTTTAACACCTCGCAACAGTTTTCTCTACACGGTTTGACACAAAGGCTGCCTTCTTTCAAATTCATTGTCAAAGTTTAGGCTTGTTTTTCTTCTTTCTTTTAATGATATTGATTATATGTAGAATGGCTGTTTCACCAGTTTGAAGTGGAAACCCAGTTGTTTTTACAATCGTAGTTATGCCTGTCTGACCATCTGTTCACAACAATTGCAACTGTACTGTCATGACTCTTGGTGGCAATTTAATTTCCATGAATTGGATGGGTGTGACGCTCTGTCCTTGTGTTAAATTCCATTGTCCTTTCTGTGTCTCTTTTTATTTAGCCTTCTAAATGGATGCAGGTGAGTTAATCGGATGAAATAAACCTCCATTTTGGGATTAGTAGTTATTTAACTGTCAGAGGAATTATCTAAAAACTGCTTTGGTGTTTCCAGCAGCTTTTGAGAACAAGACCTCCATCTGTTTCTCTTATGTAGGAGCTGTTCTATTAAATTGGACTATTTTGCAACCATTAGTCGAGACTTAATTAGCACGGCAGCTAATTATACCATATTGGTGTAGAGTTTTAGCTCCCTCACTCCTCTTCCCCCATCCTGACGGTGGTTAAGCTGTAGGGAATAATGGCCTAGGCTTTGTTGTTAAGTGACAGGTGAATTATAGCAAACTGCCTCCAGTGGTATTATATCTAAGCTCCGCTCCAGCTGGTGCGGGCAAGCTCGACTAATGGATTTAACTCTGAAATAATTGACAGCTGTCGGTGAAACGCTCTTATTCTTGACCCTCAGAAATTCCTTAGTAGTTCGGTGGGAAAGTTGCGAATTTCGACAGTTAAAAGCGGATTTCGATGACTTTTCGGCGATCACACAGAGACACTCGGCGAGACATTCTGTCGAAATGTAATCTTTCTCTACGCGAGGTGGGCTGAAGCATATCAGGCGGATACGGTGGAAGGAGGGGCAGCGGAGCTTTAACCGGGCTCACCTTTCCTGACCGCTGTAATAAGATTACCTGACGCACACGTCATGACAACAGAGACGGACAGACACTGGGAGCGGGTTACTCCATCCGTGCTATTAGAGACTGTCTACATCAGCCTGGTGGTGGACTGCTACTGAGTCTCCGCGTGTTGGACTGAGGACGCCGGTAGCGGAACGCTGATGAGCTCCTGTGCGGAGGCTGTGGCTGTATCGCCAGCAGTTACTTGTACCACCGTTGCCAGTTTTTTGTTGAGCACACTTCTGAAGTTAAACATGGTAAGACGCCTACTTCTCCCCCCCACCCCTTTCTTTTTGAGTAGCCGTCGCGGTCTGCAGTAAGCGTTTCACGACACTGTTGAAACGGGCTTTTTAGTCACTGAATAGGTGCTTGTTTCTTCCATCATTACTAGTGCTCGCAGTCTATCTTCGGCTATGTAATGATGAACTCATTTATCAGGTTTCCCATAAGTCTCTCCCTGGTATATGCCGTTCATTTCTGGAGGCAGGAATATGCAAACACTAACTAAAAGCATGAGCACTCCCTGTGGATTATCTAAAGATGATACAGGCTATTATAATACCGAGAGGAAAGTGTTTGGATCCACACACTGTATGTGATTTTAAATATTAAATGTGCTTTTTCTTTTTTTGACAGTTTAAATAAAAAGAGGTTTGATGAAGCATCATGCAAAATAACTTATTCTGGAAGCAGTTCAGTGACGGAGAAAAATGTACAGTGAGGCACCTCTAGAAAGTTTTCTATGGGGTGGCCAGATGGTGTCCGCTGTTATTGTCGGAGTGGCACACCAATGACATAAGCCAGGAAAAGAAATGGTAGCTATGGCAAGTTGGCAACATAGCATGTGCAGTCACGTTGGTGAATATCACAATAATGATATGATGAGAATAAATAAACTTAACTGAGCAGTGTTCATGTATTTCTGCTTTGGATTTATTGCAAATACAGACACAAGATCTTGTGTATTCTGTTCAGCTAGTGGAAAAAAAAATATTTCTGTCTCAATAACATGGTTTTATTGGTAAAGTTGTATCTTCCTACATTAATTATTTTAGCAAGGAAAGCGCTTACACGTAGTTCCATAATGACTTTAACCTTAATTCCCTTAAAATGTCTCATTTTCTGGTGCATAAGTAACAAACAACACATGTATGCTCCTGGCATTAGGGCTGGGCAATATAGCTGAAAAATGTATCATGATATGTAGCACTTAGGCTACATTGTGAATAGTAGAAAAGAAGAGTGTGAACTGAAGTTAAAGCTTCGTGCAAATTTAAAGGCTGTTTCATGAGGTAAAGACAAGTTTTGACACCTCTTGTTCTTCATTAAAATCGATGCAGCTGAACATAATTCCCTTCTATAATGTCATCTATTGTTTTATTTTGAAATGATTAGTGACATAACAAAGACTTTTGGAGGCTTATTTTGAGACACAACTCTAAAAACAGGGTTTTGCTGTTATGAGAGTTTCACTGTAATGAGAATTCTTGGTAAAAAAACAACAACAAATTTTGCATATTTAACATGCTTTTTTGTTTTATAGAGTGATGCACCTGTAGCTAGCTGATATTAATTGATTTGTTAGTCAGAATCCCAGAGAAAACTGGTCACAAGTTTTGACAATAAGTAAAATAACATGGGTCAGTATGATGTAAAATGCGTTTTGTATGTAGCTTTGAAGCCGTGATTATTTTAAACTATGTCGTACATATTTACTGGAAATTGGATTTTGCCTCATGGACAGTTACCGTAATTATAATAATGAAGACTGTAAATGGCTGACAGTGAAATGTAGAAGAGACCTTATGGATATAATTTAGTCCAACACTATCCTTGCTATGGCATGATGAAAGGTTTTCTGTAAGGATGCTGTTCAGCACATGACTTTTAGACCTTTAAAGGTGTAAAAGCAAGAGGAAAGACTATTGAGTGAACCTTGAGCTACTGTTACCTCAGTGTTTCTTTTCAGAAGCACCTTACGAGTTAGGTTAAGCAACAAACACATTTTCATAAAAAATAATTAAAGTAAGATGAAAACTAAAGATTCACTTTTAATTAAGACTGAACTGAGTCGACAGCTTAAACAGCTGAAATATTTGTAAAAGTGTACAGTAAAATATACAATATCTATGCTGTTCATTAACATTTCAATTCAAAAGGATTTGCATGTTTTAATTACCTATAAAGTGTTTCTAAATATCCTCAAGGCAGAGAGTTGTGTATTCTAATGGAGTTTGAATGTAAATTATTTAGATTTCAATTAAGTGCTAGTTTGCGAAATTTGACAGTAATGTAAATGGGCTTGTGCTTTTGTTGGCTTACAATATTTCTTAAAGTTACCTTAACCATAGTTAAACTGTTGTTACAGAAGTTTTTAGGTCATGCATATTTTTGAATTACATTTTCTCCAAACAATTATTAAACCACCGCTGCAGTCAAAGGTTCCTACTTGTGTTTGTGTTATTAGCACTGCAATGTGTGTAAGATGCTGTATGAGCTGGATGATCAGTTCAGTTCTGGCATACAATCTCAACAAAACCCAACGCATGCATAAATTGTGACAAGATTTAAATCAGGATCTTAAACTTTGCTTTTCTTCTGCATGGCAGTGTTTATTTCTAAGAATATTTTTCAACAAGATTCTCAATTTTCACTTTGTCATTCCTGCAAAGAAAACACTTATTACTGCTGATAAGTACTTTAGGAAAGATGACACTAATATAATATCCTTATTGTTATGATGAACTGCAGGCAACTCAAATGTCTTCTGTTTAAGTATTAATAGAGTTCACTGAAAGGATTATGAAATACTCACATAACTCGAGTGAACCTGAGTGGAATAGATGTTGAATTATCTTTCAACAAAAGAGTGCTTTGTTATACTCATCAATGAAAGATGAGCAAGGACTGTAATGTGTTTGACAGTATAGATGATTGTGAAAAAGAGACAAATCATCTTCTGACACTTGCTGGGCTTAACTTGATGTACAGTTCTACTCATTTTCAAATATGAGTCATATTTTAAAAGTGCAACACTGCTGCTCGGTATCAAACATTGGTAAGCTGTAGCAGTCATCAGTATTGGGGAGTTTACTTGCGTTCAGGTTCTACCACTCTTAAACGTATGCTTCACGATGCAAGTGTGTGTATGTGTGATCGTGAGATTCTAATGATCCAATCTTTATTATTGCTTGAGGGATAAAGCTGGAATGTAAACAATGAAGTTGGGAGTTGCACATTCCTTCTACCTTACTTTTATACCAATTGTCCCTAGGTATCACTAGATAAATAATTTGAGAACAAATATAGTGACTTTTGTGGAAATTGCACACACACTTGCATCATGAAGAATACGTTTCACTCTGAAGAGGCACTGATCAGATCTTCTTGGCTGGAATGTTTGTCAAATTTTGATTTGCATATACCACATTTAGCAGAAGACTGAATTCTGAATTTTGTTTTCCTTCCTTTTCTGCTGTGAGAGCTTCTTAGTTATTGCTGCTAGGAGAAGAGGTGACTTCATGCCACATGTGTGAGAGAACAGTTCCCATAATCCTAGGTCTTAACAATTATATTAAAATAACAGCCAGACTATTTTGGAGCTGGTGTCTTTACGCTATCTTTAATGTAGTTTGTGTGACTTGAAACAGTCTGTGTGAATTACATGGAGCTGTTAATCTTAAGTAGCACTCGTGTCCTTGAGCATCATTTAATTATACTCTTTGATACAAGATGTTTTGGTATTGACTATTAATAGAAGCATATATTGCTAATTAATCATCATAAATTAAACTCTGATGTAAAGCGATTACCATCATTGATTTTTGCTTCAATCTAAGTCTATTTAAAAGAGCAGTGTTGTGCGAAACATTTAAAGAATCCCCAGTAGAAACTTAAGTGACGGTGAACATAGAACAAGTGCTGGTAGATATTTGCACTGCATTCTGTTTCCTTCCAAAGTTGCAATTTGGATCTAGAAATGACATCTCTGTCAGTTGTTGTTCTCACTGACCAGGCTAACTCTCCAAAGCAATAGCTGGGGGGAGGGGGGAATCTCCATTTTTTTTAATCATAGCAACTCTTATTCAAACAGAAGTTATACAGTACTTTGGGAAGTAACATTTCAATGCACTTTTACAGCTATCACAATGTTTCAAATCCACTGCATTCAGATCCAATTGTGAGGTCTTATGGAGAATAGTCAAACATTTCCACTTGGAATTGAGAAGACCTCCCTGTTTGTGTTTTCAATTTAAAGCTTGGAAAATGTGACTTTTGGAACAAAATGAAATGCATAATTAAAACTCATCCTTTAATCAAACATGTAATGAATATCAACTATTCTATTGTTTTGTTACTTTGTGAAACTTTATTGATAAATCATTTTGGATGAAACGCATCAAGCTGGAAAAAGAAAGGTTTTGTTTTATTGTTATCTTTTCACTTGTTTTTTTTTTGTTTTGTTTTTTTTTTTCTGTAAAGAACACTAATTACTATATGAATGGTTCCAGAGCTACAGGGTGTCAGTTGTTATGATTGTTGCCTTGCAGCAAGAAGATGGTGGGTTTGAATCACAACTGGAGTTCTTCTGCATGAATTTTGAATCTTCTTTCTCTGCATGCGTGAGGTCTATTAAAAAAAAAACAAAAAAAAGATACTCTTTTTTTCACACAATTTAACTATGTTTTGTAGTGCATGCCTGTATGATTTTATTTTGTCATGCATGTCTCTATCTCTTCCTACGATAGACTGGTAACCTGTCCTGGGCGTGTATGCTGCCTCCTGCCCTATGACCGGCACCCCAATCATTGCAACCCCAAGCATACTTTAGCATGTCTTGGGAAATATGATTTCTCTTGCATTCCTGTGCTTTGCTTGACTTCATTTCCAACATCTCATACATCCTAAAAACAACTAATCTTGAGTCTTCCCCAGTCTGTACCAGCATCCACACTAAAGCATGCCGTTTGTGTGCAACATGGTAGCACTTATGTATAGTGTGTCCACTGATTTTTCTGGTGTATCTCAAGCTCACCCTTGAAAACTAGGAATATTTTCACCTTTTGAAAGAAGTAAAGAACCAAGATGAATTATTAAAATGGGATTTCATCAAAAGAAAAATATTTTTTCCCCAGCACATCCCTGTCATAACGTAATAATCACTCGGAAAACATGATTTCATTCACACGCACAACGGAAACTTTTGGACAGCTTCTCAGTATTATTTGATAAGAGACTCGTGGGTAGTGATGCCTGA